TGAACCCTACATGTGTACAACCATGGTGTGTGTGGGATTAGTGGTGCTGAACCCTACATGTGTACACCATGGTGTTGTGTGGATCAGTGGTGCTGAACCCTACATGTGTACACCATGGTGTGTGTGGGATCAGTGGTACTGAACCCTACATGTGTTTGCGGGATCAGTGGTGCTGAACCCTACATGTGTACACCATGGTGTGTGTGGGATTAGTGGTGCTGAACCCTTCATGTGTACACCATGGTGTGTGTGGGATCAGTGGTGCTGAACCCTACATGTGTACACCATGGTGTGTGCGGGATCAGTGGTGCTGAACCCTAAATGTGTACACCATGGTGTGTGTGGGATCAGTGGTGCTGAACCCTTCATGTGTACACCATGGTATGTGCGGGATCAGTGGTGCTGAACCCTACATGTGTACACCATGGTGTGTGTGGGAATAGTGGTGCTGAACCCTACATGTGTACACTATGGTGTGTGCGGGATCAGTGGTCCTGAACCCTACATGTGTACACCATGGTGTGTGCGGGATCAATGGTGCTGAACCCTACATGTGTACACCATGGTGTGTGTGGGATCAATGGTGCTGAACCCTACATATGTACACCATGGTGTGTGTGGGATTATTGGTGCTGATCCACCCTACATGTGTACACCATGGTGTGTGTGCGGGATCAGTGGTGCTGAACCCTACATGTGTACACCATGGTGTGTGCGGGATCAGTGGTGCTGAACCCTACATGTGTACACCATGGTGTGTGCGGGATCAGTGGTGCTGAACCCTACATGTGTACACCATGGTGTGTGCGGGATCAATGGTGCTGAACCCTACATGTGCACACCATGGTGTGTGCGGGATCAATGGTGCTTAAACCCTACATGTGTACACCATGGTGTGCGCGGGATCAATGGTGCTAAACCCTACATGTGTACACCATGGTGTGTGCCGGATTATTGGTGCTGAACCCTACATGTTGACACCATGGTGTGTGTGGGATTAGTGGTGCTGAACCCTACATGTGTACACCATGGTGTGTGCGGGATCAGTGGTGCTGAACCCTACATGTGTACACCATGGTGTGTGCGGGATTAGTGGTGCTGAACCCTACATGTGTACACCATGGTGTGTGTTGGGATTAGTGGTGCTGAACCCTACATGTGTACACCATGTGTGTGTGGGATTAGTGGTGCTGAACCCTACATGTGTACACCATGGTGTGTGTGGGATCAGTGGTGCTGAACCCTTCATGTGTACACCATGGTGTGTGCAGGATCAGTGGTGCTGAACCTTACATGTGTACACCATGGTGTGTGTTGGATCAGTGGTGCTGAACCCTACATGTGTACACCATGATGTGTGCGGGATTATTGGTGCTGAACCCTACACGTGTACACCATGGTGTGTGCAGGATTATTGGTGCTGAACCCTACATGTGGTACACCATGGTGTGTGCGGGATTATTGGTACTGAACCCTACACGTGTACACTATGGTGTGTGCGGGATTAGTGGTGCTGAACCCTTCATGTGTACACCATGGTGTGTGCGGGATCAATGGTGCTGAACCCTACATGTGTACACCATGGTGTGTGCGGGATTATTGGTGCTGAATCCTACACGTGTACACCATGGTGTGTGCGGGATGAGTGGTGCTAAACCCGTGTTTCATCGACACTCAACAGGTGAAGATGTACTGGCTGCTTGTGCTTGACATTTCTGGTGCCCATAATGAGACTTGATCGGCTTGAGAGCCAAGATTAGTGTTTACAGATAACACCAGCCAGCTCAATGGCAATTGAAATTTATGACCATTAGCTTGGCACTGGGAGGGACTCTGTCAACATAACTGCCTGTAGTCTCTAGAGGATCACATGTCACGTTCTGGCAGTCATTAGAGATGAATGTCTCAGCTTGTTGTAACCAGGTTAGCTGCAGTGTTCAGAGTTAGATATTTACCACAAGAGTTTAGTTAAAACAAGTTTTCAAAGTGAAACATTTGGTTTTTTATCAGTAGAGTTAAACATTAGGTATTTAGAGTAGTCACATCAGATATTTAACGTTTAACATTTGCTGTTCTGCTGAGTTCAGTATATGGTATTTCAACAGTAGATTTTTTACATGTATTTTTTGAGAAAAAATTCTTTGCTACGTAATGATCTTACATTTTGTCTAATAGTTTATGATTACAGAGTATAGATTGCCATGTCATGCTGTTTGTCGTGTACCCTGTTGAGTAAGCAGAATACACATCCTTTCAAAGTAGGAAATTCTGCGCATTTGTCAATTTCCAGGGTTTTATATATGGTATGTGACAGCTGTGAAATGAGGAGACCTTTTCCCTTTCTCTGACCACTGTGTACTTCCCTAGTTGACAGTCCAGTCTGGTATCTAGTGTTGTCTAATTTGGCGTATGGAAACAAAGGCAGCATCTAGTTTCACACTGGGGATGAAAGCTGGTGACTCGACTGTTAGTTGTTAGTTGGAATGTTGAAATATTGACATTGGAAGTTGCATCAGCTTCCAGATTGTGTAGAGACTTCTGTGTATATTCACATATATCCACCTCTGTTTGTTCAGGTCATTTCACAACGGCAACTTTCCAGTTCGCTGCACTGTGTGTAGTTTCAGTGCCGACTCAGAGAGCAAGATCAAACGCCATGTTGCCACACAGCATCGACCTCCTAATGGTAAGCGTTTGTTCTCCTATTGACTATAATCATGGATACACTTGTGATCCAATGCACCCAAATGGATTTCACTGTTTATTTACAAGCCTGAATACTTTTGATTTAATGAATACAAATGTTGAAATTTAAACATTAGAAACATTAGACCTCATATCGCCCTTCTTGTGGTGGGGGGGGGGGGGGGGGCTTTCTGGGAGTTCTGCCCATCAACTGGGTTACAAATGGGTGCTTAAAGCTTTTCTTCCTTAAAGCTTTTCTTCCCTTACCATTCTAAGTATAACGTGGGTGACGTAACAACTGCATATGCATAATTCTCGAATCTGATGTTTGAAAGTATCCATTATTGAAATAAAATAAGTAAATGAATGCAAGAATGCAGCTTTCCTGCATACAAATAATTATAATATTCAATGTAAAGTGACAAGATCACATTTGTTTGGTTCAGTTTTTTAGTGTAATTGTGTTTCCTTTCTGCTAGCTTCCATGGAAGAACAGCCCAGTGTGCAAGAAGCAGCAGCTGGCATCAGCAATAATGGCAGCTTGGACCGGGAGCTGAACAGTCAGTTGGATGTCCCCACTGATGGAGCTCAGGTTGATCAGGTGAGGGGCTTACCAGCCCTGCTCCCGGCAGCTGAGGCTTTTGCTTCTGTTGTCCAATTGTTGCCAGATGTGTGTTTCTGTTTTATGATTGTTGCTGGATGTGTGTTTCTGTTTTCTGATTGTTGCCTTGTGTGTGTGCTTTTGTTTCTGTTTTCTGGTTGTTGCCTTGTGTGTGTGCTTATGTTTCTGTTTTCTGATTGTTGTCTTGTGTGTGTGCTTTTGTTTCTGTTTTCTGGTTGTTGCCTTGTGTGTGTGCTTTTGTTTCTGTTTTCTGGTTGTTGCCTTGTGTGTGTGCTTATGTTTCTGTTTTCTGATTGTTGTCTTGTGTGTGTGCTTTTGTTTCTGTTTTCTGATTGTTGCCTTGTGTGTGTGCTTTTGTTTCTGTTTTCTGGTTGTTGCCCTGCGTGTGTGCTTTTGTTTCTGTTTTCTCATTGTTGCCTTGTGTGTGTGCTTTTGTTTCTGTTTTCTGGTTGTTGCCCTGCGTGTGTGCTTTTGTTTCTGTTTTCTCATTGTTGTCGGGTGTGTGCTTTTGTTTCTGTTTTCTCATTGTTGTCGGGTGTGTGTGCTTTTGTTTCTGTTTTCTCATTGTTGTCGGGTGTGTGCTTTTGTTTCTGTTTTCTCATTGTTGTCGGGTGTGTGTTTTTGTTTCTGTTTTCGGATTTTTACCTTGTGTGTGTGCTTTTGTTTCTTTTTCAGATTTTTTATTTTGTGTGTGTGCTTTTGTTTCTTTTCATGGAATGTTGCCTTGTGTGTGTGCTTTTGTTTTCTGTTTATGGAATGTTGCCTTGTGTGTGCTTTTGTTTCTGTTTATGGAATGTTGCCTTGTGTGTGTGCTTTTGTGTCTGTTTATGGAATGTTGCCTTGTGTGTGTGCTTTTGTGTCTGTTTATGGAATGTTGCCTTGTGTGTGTGCTTTTGTTTCTTTTTATGGAATGTTGCCTTGTGTGTGTGCTTTTGTTTCTGCTTTCTTCTTTTTCTTCTTTGTGTTGACCAGCTGTAAATTCTGGCTGAAAGTTCTGGTTGTTCATCCACTTTTGGACTGCAGCCCTGTTCCAGAACCTGAGTGTTACATGTGCATCTGTTTGACAGATTTGACTCATTTGTATGCAGACTGCTAGTTCCTTGCCTCTCAGGCAAATACACTTCGAATTTGAAAAATGTTCCCAGTTAATCGACTCTTATGACATGCTTTTAAGTAGGCAGTGGGTCTATCCCCCCCCCCCCCCCCCACCCCTTTCTCCCTATAATAGGGCCCAGGAACCCACATAGGGATTTCTGTTTTCTGATTGTTGCCTTGTGTGTGTGCTTATGTTTCTGTTTTCTGATTGTTGCCTTGTGTGTGTGCTTATGTTTCTGTTTTATGATTGTTGCCTTGTGTGTGTGCTTATGTTTCTGTTTTCTGATTGTTGCCTTGTGTGTGTGCTTATGTTTCTGTTTTCTGATTGTTGACTGATATGTGCTTTTGTTTCTTTTTTTTCTGATTGTTGCCGGGTGTGTGCTTTTGTTTCAGTCTTCTGATTGTTGCCTTGTGTGTGTGCTTTTGTTACTGGGTATTGGTGGCCTGGACTATGCTGACTTTATCAGGCTGTGATGTTTTGTGCTTGCCTGGGTCAGCTGTAATCTGTTAGTTAGGCAATGTGTGTGTGTGTCTTTTTTCTGTGTCTATGCTGACTTTATTAGGCTGTGATGTTTTGTGCTTGCCTGGGTCAGCTGTAATCTGTTAGTTAGGCAATGTGTGTGTGTGTGTGTGTCTTTTTTCTGTGTCCAGAAGTCTGGGTGGGCAGTGCTTCTAATGTCAGGTGGTCTGTGTGTGAGAGGAACCAGTATTTGTTGAGGGTGCTGGCATTTTGCCAAGTACTTTCTGTGTCAGATTTGAGAGCCATAAGGAGACAACACCTGTATCTGTGATACATTGAAGGAGTTACTGTGTGGGGGGTGGGGCGTATATTGATGGAGATGTTGTCGGGAGCAGAGAGGATACAACACTTGTGCTTGTATTATATTGATGAATAATGTTGAGGTAGAGAGAATGAAACACTGCTGAACTGTATGTACAAGTGAACTATATATATTTGTGTTATGTTTCAGGAATTTGTTTTGGGCAGAGAGGGTAAAGACAAGGACCCCAGTGATGGTGGTCGACTGGTTGAGTACAGGTCAGTTTTTTTGTTGAATTGTAATATGTCAGATGTTTCCAGCTACTTAAACAACACCTGTATTTTACAATTTGTTTTTCATGCTTTTTTATTTAAAAACATTTCCCACAACTAATTTTTTTATCGTGAAATTTGTGAGCGAGTTAATTTTCAGAGCTGAAACGCTTCACGTCTGTACCATTTTCTTGTTTTAATTATATTCAGTATGCTAAATTTGTGTAGTAAAGTTTGATTGCTACAAAATATTACATTGAACAGTAGTAATTGAAGGAAATTAAGTCTTTTTGTCCCTCCTCATAGTTGTAGATCTATTTGCCTAGGCCCAGTCTGTTTTTCTGCCAGACTCTCTGCTGATCTTCTTCAAGTCCATTTTGACCTTGCCTTCCACCTCCTCTTTGGATCCTACTTTTTGAAACACAGATTCTTGTCTATTGCAGATGTCCTAAGTGCCCCATGGTGTGCTATCGTCGTGGCAACTTCACCCGGCATCTGACAGCCAAGCACAAAATCAACCAAACCACGGCAGCTGCCCTCAGCAAGAGTATCGAGGGGAAGATTGCTAAAGTGTTGAAGCGAAAGCGCGCTGGGTCTGCCTTCACAGCACTCAAACAGATGCGCTTTCAGGCCATGGAGAATCTCAAGTGTTCTCATTGCTCTTACATTGCCAAGTGGCCCAGTGATCTGCGACGTCACATGCAGGTGCACACCTTAATCAAACGGTTCAAGTGCTCCATGTGCACCAATAAATACAAGTATCTGGGCGATCTGAATGTGCACATGCGCCGAGACCACAACACAGAACCTCCAGACAACATTGCTCGAGAGGTGGCCACCTCTGATGCACTGACCAAAGCATCGCCAGCCATGTTCAGGTGTCCTGTGTGTCCGTATGCCTCTCAGTCAAAGGCAGAGCTGGAACAGCACTCACGCATCCATGCCAACACGGAGAAGACTTACCAGTGCCGTCAATGCGACTACCAGACTTACTGGAGGGGCGATGTCAGCCGGCATCTGTTCCGACACCACAAGATAGTGCTGAGTAAGGAAGCATCTGAAATCTGGGCCTACTTCCTCCACAGGCCTGATATTAAACCACTGACCAAACAAGGAGGAGCTGCTGCTGCTGCCGCTGCTGCAGCTGCTAGCCTGGCTGTTTCACCATCGTCATTGCCTGAGGTGAGCCCAGGTAAAACTACTCCACAAAATACCCCAGCTGTACTATCAAGTCAGGATCAGCAGGACAGTATTTCCTACACCCAGGGTAGCTCCAGGAAGTCTTCACCAGCTTCTGGGACAGTGTTTCTGAAGGAAGGTTCTTTCATCTGCGAGTACCCAAACTGTGACTTCAAAACAACAATTTCTGATCGCATGGAGATCCACCTGGCTGTGCATCAGAACCTGAAAATGTTTGTGTGTCCCACTTGTGGCAAGAGGACCAACTGGAAGTGGGATGTGGTCAAACATATGAACAAGGTCCATATGAACACAACTGCAGTCATTGAAGATGTCATCACCCTCAGCATTGACCAGGCTAAAGCTACCATCCAGGACTACCTGAGTAGCCATGAGAAGAAGTCCAAGAATCTAGTGGTCAGCTACTGCTCTCTGTGTAACTTCAAGTCCCTGGACAGAAACCGGGTGGTCAGACACCTGGCTACGGTTCACAAACATGAAAATGGCACCTTCCTCAGCATGCCGATGATCAGGTCAGAAAGTCTGGAGAATCCTCTCAACATCCAGACTGAGGAAGGGGGCGTGTCTCTTGATAGCGACAGGTTCCTCCTAGATGGGTCTGGTGGAGAGTTGCCAGTGCGTAAGTTTGTGGAGCCACCAGCAGAAGAGTTGGCTCAGTTGGAGAAACCTTATGCTTGTGCCATCTGCAGAAAAGTTGGCTCCACCAAAGGGGATGTCAAGAAACATTACAATTATACTCACCCATACAAGGATGTGAGGATTGTCTATGTTGGTGACGAGACAGAGTTCAACTATTATACAGGAGAGATTTACCAGAAATCCTCAAAATCAGACCAGTCTTTATTAGAGTCTCCAGACATGAAAACTGGGATGCCTCCATTGTCACCGTCGGGGAAAATTCTCCGGCCAGATTCCAAATTTAGCAACCCAAAAATGCATGGCTATGTCAAGCCCTTTAAATGCTCTATTTGTGGTCTCCGCTCCAACTGGAAGTGGGACCTGAAGAAACATCTCAGGTCCAAACATCCAAACCAGGGTGGTTTTGTTATCTTGCTTTCCATAGAGGAAGCATCAGAGACTTACGGCAAAGACTGCACACCAAGCCACCCCAAGAATGAAGACTTTCTGTCACCGTTTTCTTCCTCCCCAAGCCAAGTTCCGCTACAGACACCAAGCAATCCTTCTCCGGTTCCAGCTGCGGACCACGTGTTCAAACCTCCCCCAAATATCAAGGCAGAAATACTGGAGGATTCTGATGGAGAAGATAGTCAGGATGAGCTGTGTTCTGTGTCATCATTCTTCTCTGAGTCTTCTGCATCATCGGCCTCACCGTCACCTCGCCCTAGAGGCAGAGAAAGTTCCACATCATTGGATCCAACCAGACGCCAGTGGAGATGCTCCGCCTGTAATTACATTTCCAACTGGCGAAGGAACATGGCACGGCACATTCACAGAAAACACCCAGAAGAGGAGGAAACGGTTGAAGTGCTGGCTCTGCACGAGACTCCAGAGACTGTCAACGATGGTACTGGGGAAGATGTCTCACAAAACAGAGAAGCAATGGATGTTGAGGCAAGAAGTTATGACACTGTGGCAGAGCCAGACGTTCCCGAGAAGAAAGTCAGCTGTGTCCAGTCGGACATGAGGTTGTGGAACTGTTCCCGCTGTGTCTACTCATCCAGACTGCGCACCCACATCATTGTCCACATGCAGCAGCATGAAATGAAACCTTTTTCTTGTGGAATCTGTGGCATGCCTTTCATGAACCGAGGACCTCTCCACCGACACTTGCAGAAAGTCCACAAACGTAGCGACTACCTCAAGCTGTGCAAGGTCAACATTCAGTACAACGATGAACCTGGGGCAAGTAATGCAGATGAAGTGACCAGGAATGAATATATCAACTCCTATTTCTGCCGGCTGTGCAGTCTTGAGTCACTCGACCGAATTCAGATAGTGCAGCACCTCATAGATGTTCATGATTCCCCAGAGAGCGACAACAACATCTTGAAAATCCAGAAGCATGTTGGTGGCTCTGCCAAACGAAGAGCTGCCTTAGTGAGATTTTCTAAAAATAATTCTTCTCAGAAGTGGAACAAAAAAGTACATTTCTGCACCATTTGTCCTTTCCGGACTTTGAAAAAATCAATGCTGGCATTTCACATGACCTACCACAAACCAAATTCGGTGAACAAATTTAAGTGTAAGTACTGCCCGTATTATGTGGGGGCTGTGCGTCTGCTTCACCAGCACCAACGTAAGTGGCACAAGGAGTCGAGCAGTCAGAGACAGTGGGAGCAGGAAGAGCAGACCACCCCAACACAGTCCCCAACAAAACTGGGCGCTGGCTCCACAAGTCCACTAGGAACCCCCCGACGGCACTGCTGTGAAAAATGTCCTTACACCACCAACAGCAAGAATGATTTCATCTATCATAAACAGGTGGGTACTTGTACGTGTTTTCCTGTGTGGGTTAATGTCTCATTTTGTGTGTGAGGGGGTGGGGTTAGGCCCACTGCCCCATAACAGGCATGTCATAGGAGGTGACTAATTAGGGGTGTTTCCCCTCATGTCATAGGTGGTGACTAATTAGGGGTGTTTCCCCTCATGTCAAAGGTGGTGACTAATTAGGGGTGTTTCCCCTCATGTCATAGGTGGTGACTAATTAGGGGTGTTTCCCCTCATGTATAGGAGGTGACTAATTAGGGGTGTTTCCCCTCATGTCATAGGAGGTGACTAATTAGGGGTGTTTCCCCTCATGTCATAGGTGGTGACTAATTAGGGGTGTTCCCCTCATGTCATAGGTGACTAATTAGGGGTGTTTCCCCTCATGTCATAGGAGGTGACTAATTAGGGGCGTTTCCCCTCATGTCATAGGTGACTAATTAGGGGTGTTTCCCCTCGTGTCATAGGAGGTGACTAATTAGGGGTGTTTCCCCTCATGTCATAGGTGGTGACTAATTAGGGGTGTTTCCCCTCATGTCATAGGTGGTGACTAATTAGAGGTGTTCCCCTCATGTCATAGGAGGTGACTAATTAGGGGTGTTTCCCCTCATGTCATAGGAGGTGACTAATTAGGGGTGTTTCCCCTCATGTCATAGGAGGTGACTAATTAGGGGTGTTTCCCCTCATGTCATAGGAGGTGACTAATTAGGGGTGTTCCCCTCATGTCATAGGAGGTGACTAATTAGGGGTGTTTCCCCTCATGTCATAGGAGGTGACTAATTAGGGGTGTTTCCCCTCATGTCATAGGAGGTGACTAAATAGGGGTGTTTCCCCTCATGTCATAGGTGACTAATTTGGGGTTTTCCCCCTCGTGTCATAAGAGGTGACTAATTAGGGGTGTTTCCCCTCATGTCATAGGAGGTGACTAATTAGGGGTGTTTCCCCTCATGTCATGTGAGGTGACTAATTAGGGGTGTTCCCCTCATGTCATAGGTGACTAATTAGGGGTGTTTCCCCTCATGTCATAGGTGACTAATTGGGGGTGTTTCCCCTCATGTCAAAGGAGGTGACTAATTAGGGGTGTTTCCCCTCATGTCATAGGAGGTGACTAATTAGGGGTGTTTCCCCTCATGTCATAGGTAGTGACTAATTAGGGGTGCATATCCTCATGTCATAGGTGGTGACTAATTAGGGGTGTTCCCCTCATGTCATAGGAGGTGACTAATTAGGGGTGTTTCCCCTCATGTCATAGGATGTGACTAATTAGGGGTGTTTCCCCTCATGTCATAGGAGGTGACTAATTAGGGGTGTTTCCCCTCATGTCATAGGAGGTGACTAATTAGGGGCGTTCCCCTCATGTCATAGGTGACTAATTAGGGGTGTTTCCCCTCATGTCATAGGAGGTGACTAATTAGGGGTGTTTCCCCTCATGTCATAGGAGGTGACTAATTAGGGGTGTTTCCCCTCATGTTATAGGTGGTGACTAATTAGGGGTGTTTCCCCTCATGTCATAGGAGGTGACTAATTAGGGGTGTTTCCCCTCATGTTATAGGAGGTGACTAATTAGGGGTGTTTCCCCTCATGTCAGAGTGCATCTGCATGAGAGGTACACAACCAACAGTCTGCTTACAAATAAGCCAAATCTGCATAATGGATGTGCATGCAAAGTTCCTAGTTCTGAATCGAGACCAAAATCCGGGGGTGGACAAACAACCAGAACTTTCTGCTGAAGTTTACAACAAGTGAACATGAAGAAGAAGAAGTAGAAACATTCTGACTACATTTATCAGTTCTCATCTTGACCCACTCATTTGCATAATAATATGTAATCTGTTGACAGTTCCATCGCCCAAAGCGCACGGCTGAGTTTAAGTGTGAGTACTGCGACTACTGGGTTGTTCACAAGAGACTGCTGAAACAACACACACGCCTGCACACCACAGTCTCACCCAGCAGCGGTGCAGTGGTGGAAAACTCCCCAGCCAAGTCTCTCTGCTCTGGTACGACCACTTTTTAAATTAAGTACTCTCCTCATGGGTATTAACTGGTAGTATGTGTTCCCTGTTCATCTGCAATCACAGCCCTGGCTGTCTTGTAACATACATATGTGTGTGTGTCTTTATATATACACACACGCACATAATTCACACATTTTTGCCCCAAATGATGTTTAAAGAATAGCTTATTTTTGCCTGCACAGAAATCTATATTTATCTGAGCTTATTTTCAAGGGATGTCTTAATTTTAATTATCATGTAATAAAATAATTAATGTCAGTTATATTATTCATTTATATTTGTTTATACATCCATCACTGAATAATTCAGCATGCTTGTTGTTTGTATCTAGGTGCTGATCTTAACTAGACTATATATTGGCACTAGGGCTTGTATTACACACGTTCTGAGAAATCATGCCAAGGCTTTATTTTCAGCTGACATATATTTGGGGGGGGGGGGGGGGAGGAGTAACTTCTTATATTATCGTTTACCCCTCTAATTTCAGACCCAGGTTTGGTGTATGATCCAGTGGAACTGACTGAGTTGGCTGCCATTAAGCAGAAAATGATTTCGGCCAAAATTACAGCCAGCCTGTCCAACAGCCCCAACATTAGCCCCATGAAGCTGGCCTCGCAGTGTTCCGTGGACAGCAAGCCGGGCTACATTATCAAGAACGGGCTCTACCGCAAGCTGCACAAGTGTCAGTTCTGTCCCTACACCAACATAAGGTCTAGGAACATGCAGCTGCATGAGATGATGCACGGCCCCAGAGATAGCAACTGCCCTCTGATGAAGTGTCCCTACTGTGACTACTATGTGGGCTCCAAGGGACTGCTCTCCCATCACATGAAGGTCAGTGGCTCAGACATTTAGCCACATTTGCAGTGGCTCAGACATTTAGCCACATTTGCAGTGGCTCAGACATTTAGCCACATTTGCAGTGGCTCAGACATTTAGCCACATTTGCAGTGGCTCAGACATTTAGCCACATTTGCAGTGGCTCAGACATTTAGCCACATTTGCAGTGGCTCAGACATGTAGCCACATTTGCAGTGGCTACAAGAGGAATCTTCTTCTTCTTTTTCTTCTCATCTTCTCCTTCTCCTACTTATCCTTCTACGTCTCCTTCTTCTCCTTCTCCTTCTTCTCCTTCTTCTTATCCTCCTTCATGTTGACCGGCTGTGAACTCAAGCAGAAAGTCCTGGTTATTCACCCACTCCAGGACTTTAGCCATGCTCCAGAACTTGAGTTTTACATGCAGTTCCGTTTTACAGATCCCACTGATTTGTATGCTGACCATTGGTTCCTTGCCTCTCAACCAGATGCACTCTGATTTCAAAGAAAGCCCCCATTTAATTGAGTCTGGTGATATCTCATTAAAAAGGCAGTATGTCTGATCCCCACACTGGGGCCAGGAACCTGCACAAAGATCAAGAGTAAATAACTTTCATACCCTATGGCAGGCATGTCAGATTGAGAGTTTCCCAAAAGATATAGGGGTCATATGGCTGGCATGTCAGATTTAGGGTCTCCCCAAAAGATATATGGGTCATATGGCAGTCATGTCAGATTGAGGGTATCTAAAAGGATATATGGGTCATATGGCAGGCATGTCAGATTGAGGGTATCCCAAAGGATATATGTGTCATATGGCAGGCATGTCAGATTGAGGGTTTGTTTCCCAAAAGATATATGGGTCATATGGCAGGCATGTCAGATTGAGGGTTTGTTTCCCAAAGGATATATGGGTCATATGGCAGGCATGTCAGATTGAGGGTTTTCCCAAAAGTTATATGGGTCATATGGCAGGCATGTCAGATTGAGAGTTTCCCAAAAGATATATGGGTCATATGGCTGGCATGTCAGATTTAGGGTCTCCCCAAAAGATATATGGGTCATATGGCAGACATGTCAGATTGAGGGTATCCCAAAGGATATATGGGTCATATGGCAGGCATGTCAGATTGAGGGTATCCCAAAGGATATATGGGTCATATGGCAGGCATGTCAGATTGAGAGTTTCCCAAAAGATATATGGGTCATATGGCAGGCATGTCAGATTGAGGGTTTGTTTCCCAAAAGATATATGGGTCATATGGCAGGCATGTCAGTTTGAGGGTTTCCCCAAAAGTTATATGGGTCATATGGCAGGCATGTCAGATTGAGGGTTTCCCCAAAAGATATATGGGTTAAATGGCAAGCATGTCAGATTGAGGGTTTCCCCAAAAGATATATGGGTCATATGGCAGGCATGTCAGATTGAGGGTTTCCTCAAAAGATATATGGGTCATATGGCAGGCATGTCAGATTGAGGGTTTCACCAAAAGATATATGGGTCATATGGCAGGCATGTCAGATTGAGGGTTTCCCCAAAAGATATATGGGTCATATGGCAGGCATGTCAGATTGAGAGTTTCCCCAAAGGATATATGGGTCATATGGCAGGCATGTCAGATTGAGGGTTTCCCCAACGGATTTATGGGTCATATGGCAGGCATGTCAGATTGAGGGTTCCCCAAAAGATATATGGGTCATATGGCAGGCATGTCAGATTGAGGGTTTCCCCAAAAGATAAATGAGTCATATGGCAGGCATGTCAGATTGAGGGTTTCCCCAAAGGATATATGGTTTATATGGCAGGCATGTCAGATTGAGGGTTTCCCCAAAGGATATATGGGTCATATGGCAGGCATGTCAGATTGAGGGTTTCCGCAACGGATTTATGGGTCATATGGCAGGCATGTCAGATTGAGGGTTTCCCCAAAGGATCTATGGGTCATATGGCAGACATGTCAGATTGAGGGTTTCCCCAAAAGATATATGGGTCATATGGCAGGCATGTCAGATTGAGGGTTCCCCAAAAGATACATGGGTCATATGGCAGGCATTTTAGATTGAGGGTCTCCCCAAAAGATATATGGGTCATATGGCAGACATGTCAGATTGAGGGTTTCCCTAACGGATTTATGGGTCATATGGCAGGCATGTCAGATTGAGGGTTTCCCCAACGGATTTATGGGTCATATGGCAGGCATATCAGATTGAGGGTGTGTCATCATGAGGGCCACACACGACAACTAATTAAAGTTGGAAGGATGTAGTTTCGTCGCCCAGCTTCTGAGTTGAGTGCATGGCGTGACACTGTGAGCTGCGTTTGTTTTTCGTTGGCACAGGAGCGGAGCATATGTGGGGTGACCCGTTTGCTATGAAGCTGAAACTAGGATTACCAGATTGCCAGATTACCAGATTTCATAAAAATTATTGCAGAATATTTACTTTTGTGCGGGTCACAGGTGTGCTTGCAAATGTCCGCTGTTTAGAAATGCCTGGTATATGCGACTGTGACTTTGAGGTTGGTGAATGTGGTTCACAGTTCCACTGCATCAAAGTACTACGGTTTCATTTTGAAGTCAGATTATTTTTGTTTTGTGTTTAAAAAAAAACCCATTCTTACGGCTTTCTGCTACTGGTAGGAGAATTGCCTCACCACAGAAGTTTATAAACTGGACACAAATTATGAGAATAAAATAAGGATAATGAGTTTCATGCTAAATATTAATTATTCTAAAAAAAAAAAGGGGTGCTGCTATCATACTTGATGTTTCAGACATAAATTCACTAAACAGACACTGAGACCAGTAAGTTCAGTGAGAAGTTACAAAACACACCTGCAGACACAAGCAAACATTGTGATCAGAGCCTTTAACAGCAAATCACACATCAAGCGAAAAGAATGCTAAAAATGAGCCTCCGCTACTCGGATGAGCAGTATTAATGTCACTGGGAAGAAAGTTTTCTATTGATGATAAAGTTATTTCATCAAATGTTGCTGGCCTGATCTCTACAGGTACACCAGAAAACTTATGGGGACACCCCAGAAAATGATGCTGAACTGGGTGATTTGGCAGATTCTGTGGACAATGACGACGAGTCTGATCAGGACATACCACAGCAGCAGAAAGTAAGCATGCACACTTTCACAACAGCATACCAGGGTATATAAACTCACAACAACATACCAGGGTATATAAACTCACAACAACATACCAGGGTATATAAACTCACAACAACATACCAGGGTATATAACCTCACAACAGCATACCAGGGTATATAAACCTCAAAACAACATACCAGGGTATATAACCTCACAACAACATACTAGGGTATGTAACCTCACAACACACCAAGGTATGTAACCTCACAACATACCAGGGTATAACAACACAGTATTCCAGTTTATATATAAGAGTAACATCACAACATATTGGATGTAAAAAAAAACATATATACCAGACACACCTCACATCAGCATAGATGTATAAAGACAGTCCTCAATAAGAACAGAAAGTTAGTAGGCAGATAAACTATATTACATAAAACAAACATTCTGTCACACAACACACACCAGTAATTGTAGATGTTTTGCTGAAACTGCCAGAATAATGTTACTGTGTTCTGACACAAGGTGGACACACTGCTGCAGATCTCACGCTTTAAGAGGTTTGGTTGTGAACGCTGCCCTTACGCCAGTGCCAAACGCCAGCACTTTGTGAGACACCTGGAGCTGCACGGGTCCAGGCAACGGCACACCTGTCAGTACTGTGATTACAGTGTACCCTCCAACAACCTGCTGCATCAGGTGGGCAAACACTCTTCTGTGTGTGTGTATGGGGAGAAAAGGGTGGGGGGGGGGGGGGGTTACATGGTCTTCTCTGTGTCAGCAAACATCTGTGTGTGTGTGTGTGTGTGGGGGGGGGTGTAACAGGGTCTTCTCTATGTCAGCAAACATCTGTGTGTGTGTGTGTGTGTGTGTGTGGAAGGGGGGGGGGGGACTGGGTCTTCTCTGTTTGTGTGTCGGCAAACATCTGTGTGTGTTGGGTTTTCTGTGTGTCAGCAAACATCCATGTGTTTGTCAGCAGTTTGTGTCTGGGGTCTTCTGTATGTGTGTCAGCAAACCCCTTTGTCTAGGGTCTTCTGTGTGTGTGTGTTAGCAAACCCCTTTGTCTAGGTCTTCTGTGTGTGTGTCAGCAAACCCCTATGTCTGGGGTCTTCTGTATGTGTGTCAGCAAATATCCCTATGTGTGGGTCTTATGTGTGTGTGTCAGAAAACCCCATGTTTGTAGCATCATATGTGTAAATCAGCAAATATCTGTGTGTGGAGGTCTCCTTTGTGTGTGTCATCAAATATATGTGTGGGTCTTGTGTGTATGTCGGCAGATATATATGTATGGGGGTTTCCTCTCTCTGTCTCCCTCTGTGTGTGTGTGTGTCTATCTGTCAGCAAACATCTGTGTGTGAGGTCTCATGTTTGTCTATAGAAGAAGCTTCCATCCATTTGGCTCTTGTATAAATGTGGAAACTTTTATGCATTTTTCAGCATTGTTATATAAATGTGGAAACTATTGTGCAGTTTTCAGCATTGTTATATAAATGGAGAAACTATTGTTTAATTTTCAGCATTGTTTTATACATATGGAAACTATTGTGCAGTTTTCAGCATCAATACATAAATGTGGAAACTACTGTGCAATTTTCAGCATTGTTATATACATGTGGAAACTATTGTACAATTTTCAGCATAAATATGGAAACTATTATACAATTTTCAGCATAAATTTGGAAACTATTGTACAATTTTCATCATAAATATGGAAACTATTGTACAATTTTCAGCATTGTTATATACATGTGGAAACTATTGTACAATTTTCAGCATAAATATGGAAACTATTGTACAATTTTCAGCATAAATATGGAAACTATTGTACAATTTTCAGCATAAATATGGAAACTATTGTTCAATTTTCAGCATAAATATGGAAACTATTGTACAATTTTCAGCATTGTTATATACATGTGGAAACTATTGTACAATTTTCAGCATAAATATGGAAACTATTGTACAATTTTCAGCATAAATGTGGAAACTATTGTACAATTTTCAGCACACCAAACTCCACCTGATGCCAAACCAGAATCTGTTGGCATCGCAGTCCATCACCAACCTACAACACTTGAGTGAGGTGCCTGCTGATGTTGCTCTTGCCTCGGCTCTGCCCCCAGCCGACTCAGACACAGCCGTGACAATCAGTGTCATTCATGACCATCTGGGGCTCTATGAGAACAGGTGAGACATCTCATTGCTCTTGTTTATCTGAGTCTTGTTCATCATATCCCTGTGTAGTTGCTATTTGACTTGCTCACTCTATATAATCAGTATCCATGTGTAGTTGCTATTTTACTCACTCTATATAATCAGTATCCATGTGTAGTTGCTATTTTACTTACCCACTCTATATAACCAGTATCCCTGTGTAGTTGCTATTTGACTTGCTCACTCTATATAACCAGTATCCCTGTGTAGTTGCTATTTTACTTGCTCACTCTAAATAATCAGTATCCCTGTGTAGTTGCTATTTTACTTGCTCACTCTATATAACCAGTATCCCTGTGTAGTTGCTATTTGACTTGCTCACTCTATATAACCAGTATCCCTGTGTAGTTGCTATTTGACTTGCTCACTCTATATAACCAGTATCCCTGTGTAGTTGCTATTTTACTCACTCTATATAACCAGTATCCCTGTGTAGTTGCTATTTTACTCACTCTATATAACCAGTATCCCTGTGTAGTTGCTATTTTACTTACTCTATATAACCAGTATCCCTGTGTAGTTGCTATTTTACTTGCTCACTCTATATAACCAGTATCCCTGTGTAGTTGCTATTTGACTTGCTCACTCTATATAACCAGTATCCCTGTGTAGTTGCTATTTTACTTGCTCACTCTAAATAATCAGTATCCCTGTGTAGTTGCTATTTTACTTGCTCACTCTATATAACCAGTATCCCTGTGTAGTTGCTATTTGACTTGCTCACTCTATATAACCAGTATCCCTGTGTAGTTGCTATTTGACTTGCTCACTCTATATAACCAATATCCCTGTGTAGTTGCTATTTTACTCACTCTATATAACCAGTATCCCTGTGTAGTTGCTATTTTACTTACTCTATATAACCAGTATCCCTGTGTAGTTGCTATTTTACTTACTCTATATAACCAGTATCCCTGTGTAGTTGCTATTTTACTTACTCTATATAACCAATATCCCTGTGTAGTTGCTATTTTACTCACTCTATATAACCAGTATCCCTGTGTAGTTGCTATTTTACTTACCCACTCTATATAACCAGTATCCCTGTGTAGTTGCTATTTGACTTGCTCACTCTATATAACCAGTATCCCTGTGTAGTTGCTATTTGACTTACCCACTCTATATAACCAGTATCCCTGTGTAGTTGCTATTTTACTCACTCTATATTTTTTTTTTTTTTTTTAACGTATCCAGAAGCCATGAGTTGTAAACCCTTTGGCTCGGTACTATGGATATCGCAACCCTTCGGCATTAATTCCATTATAGGTACCGTTAATCTGGGAGAAATGTGGCTTTTCTGCCTACCCCCGGAAGTGAACCCGGACCACAAGGAGTTCGTCACCCGGCCGCCGCGAAAGTCAGGTTTAACCAACTACGCTAGAGAGCCGGGCACTCACTCTATATAACCAGTATCCCTGTGTAGTTGCTATTTGACTTGCCCACTCTATATAACCAGTATCCCTGTGTAGTTGCTATTTGACTTGCTCACTCTATATAACCAGTATCCCTGTGTAGTTGCTATTTGACTTACTCACTCTATATAACCAGTATCCCTGTGTAGTTGCTATTTGACTTGCTCACTCTATATAATCAGTATCCCTGTGTAGTTGCTATTTTACTTACCCACTCTATATAACCAGTATCCCTGTGTAGTTGCTATTTTACTTGCTCACTCTATATAACCAGTATCCCCTGTGTAGTAACCAGTATCCCTGTGTAGTTGCTATTTTACTTGCTCACTCTATATAACCAGTATCCCTGTGTAGTTGCTATTTTACTTGCTCACTCTATATAACCAGTATCCCTGTGTAGTTGCTATTTTACTTGCTCACTCTATTGTGTAGTTGCTATTTTACTTGCTCACTCTATATAACCAGTATCCCTGTGTAGTTGCTATTTTACTTGCTCTCACTCTATATAACCAGTATCCCTGTGTAGTTGCTATTTTACTTGCTCACTCTATATAACCAGTATCCCTGTGTAGTTGCTATTTTTACTTGCTCCCTCTATATAACCAGTATCCCTGTGTAGTTGCTATTTTACTTGCTCACTCTATATAACCAGTATCCCTGTGTAGTGCTATTTGCTGCTCACTCTTTTACTTGTATCCCTGTGTAGTTGCTATTGTACTTGCTCACTCTATATAACCAGTATCCCTGTGTAGTTGCTATTTTACTTGCTCACTCTATATAACCAGTATCCCTGTGTAGTTGCTATTTTACTTGCTCACTCTATATAACCAGTATCCCTGTGTAGTTGCTATTTTACTTGCTCACTCTATATAACCAGTATCCCTGTGTAGTTGCTATTTTACTCACTCTATATAATCAGTATCCATGTGTAGTTGCTATTTGACTTGCTCACTCTATATAACCAGTATCCCTGTGTAGTTGCTATTTGACTTGCTCACTCTATATAACCAGTATCCCTGTGTAGTTGCTATTTTACTTGCTCACTCTATATAACCAGTATCCCTGTGTAGTTGCTATTTGACTTGCTCACTCTATATAACCAGTATCCCTGTGTAGTTGCTATTTTACTTACCCACTCTATATAACCAGTATCCCTGTGTAGTTGCTATTTTACTTGCTCACTCTATATAACCAGTATCCCTGTGTAGTTGCTATTTTGACTTACCTCACTCTATATAACCAGTATCCCTGTGTAGTTGCTATTTTACTTGCTCACTCTATATAACCAGTATCCCTGTGTAGTTGCTATTTTACTTGCTCACTCTATATAACCAGTATCCCTGTGTAGTTGCTATTTTACTTGCTCACTCTATATAACCAGTATCCCTGTGTAGTTGCTAGTTGCTCACTTTAGTTGCTATTTGACTTGCTCACTGCTGTAGTTGCTATTTTACTTCTATATAACCAGTATCCCTGTGTAGTTGCTATTTTACTTGCTCACTCTCACACTCTATATAACCAGTATCCCTGTGTAGTTGCTATTTGACTTGCTCACTCTATATAACCAGTATCCCTGTGTAGTTGCTATTTTACTTACCCACTCTATATAACCAGTATCCCTGTGTAGTTGCTATTTGACTTGCTCACTCAATCAGTATCCCTGTGTAGTTGCTATTTTACTTACCCATCTATATAACCAGTCCCTGTGTAGTTGCTATTTTTTCACTATTACCCTATTTTACTTGCCCACTCTATATAACCAGTATCCCTGTGTAGTTGCTATTTGACTTGCTCACTCTATATAACCAGTATCCCTGTGTAGTTGCTATTTTACTTTGCTCACTCTATATAACCAGTATCACTGTGTAGTTGCTATTTGACTTTGCTCACTCTATGTATCCCTAGTTGCTATTTTACTTGCTCACTCTATATAACCAGTATCCCTGTGTAGTTGCTATTTGACTTGCTCACTCTATATAACCAGTATCCCTGTGTAGTTGCTATTTTACTTGCTCACTGTCTATATAACTCAGTATCCCTGTGTAGTTGCTATTTTTTACTTGCTGCACTGCTCACTCTATATAACCAGTATCCAGTACTTGCCCACTCTATATCCCTGTGTAGACTTGCTATTATAACCAGATCCCTGTGTAGTTGCTATTTTACTTGCTCACTCTATATAACCAGTATCACTGTGTAGTTGCTATTTTACTTGCTCACTCTATATAACCAGTATCCCTGTGTAGTTGCTATTTGACTTGCTCACTCTATATAACCAGTATCCCTGTGTAGTTGCTATTTGACTTGCTCACTCTATATAACCAGTATCCCTGTGTAGTTGCTATTTTACTTGCTCACTCTATATAACCAGTATCCCTGTGTAGTTGCTATTTGACTTGCTCACTCTATATAACCAGTATCCCTGTGTAGTTGCTATTTTACTTACCCACTCTATATAACCAGTATCCCTGTGTAGTTGCTATTTGACTTGCTCACTCTATATAACCAGTATCCATGTGTAGTTGCTATTTTACTTACTCACTCTATATAACCAGTATCCCTGTGTAGTTGGCTCTCACATGGCTGTCTTCCTCTTGCTAGGACTTTTGGTCAGTGTGGAGGATAGGCAGGTTTACTGTTTTAGCCATGGCAAGTTGTTGCTGCTGACAATAGTTAACTGTTGCCATTTTCTCCTTGTGTAGACTGAAAGGATATAGTTCCCTTGCCCAGCTGCTGAGTAAAGAGCTTGGCACAACACTGTGCTGCAGATTTCATTTGGAATATTAGTCAGCTGTGCCCAGCATGGTTTTATATTGTCTGCTGCAGAAAATGGGGAGTTGCCTGTTGGTACCTTATGTGATTAATTGCGTGTACAGTTACTGATCTGGTGTAACTTCTGATCTTCTTGATGATGAATCATATTTCTAGTGTCAGACTGTTTGTATTGACACTTCTGATGGCTACTTGTGCATTTAATGCAGGTTTATGCTATTTGATTTGTTGAGATGTCATCCAAGTCAGTATTTTTAACAAGGGACAGTGATAGACATTGCATATAGTTTTCATTAGCACAGATTGGAGCAACTATGGGGTGAAGTTGCAAGTGTGATTGCCTGACATTACATGTCATAGAATAAGGCACAAGTCAGTGGTCTGCCTTTATGCCTGCATGCTGTATAGACTGTCAGGAGAACCTATACAGTAACCATACAGATCCAGACATTGTTGTCAAATACTGCACTCATTAACTGGCCCATAACAATGTCTCACTGGCACCTGTCAGGGACCCACAGAATAATAACACGGACGCCTACCATATGTGTCTTACGCTGCAATTATGGAAGGTTGGTGTCAGTCTGGCTCACTCCTCCCAACACGACCAAGTCTACCCAGGTCTTATGACAGTTGGTAAAGGACCTATGGACCAGTTGCAGATAAAGATAGAAGAAGAATAAAACAAATCATAGGTCATAGATATCGCATGAAACTGGGCCTTATAAGAATAGAGAAACAAGGGAGATCGCATGGTGGTCTGTTAACTGTTCTCCATCTTTGATTCTAAGAATTTTAACTTATAAACTGAAAGATTTCCAGAGACTTTATAAATTACAAGATTTCTGATCTCTAAAATGCAAGATTTCCAATTAACAAACTCAAGAATTCCAACATATAAACCACAAGATTGCCCTCCTGTAAACTTCAGATTCTATGTCTATTAACTGATGCTTAATTGGTTTGTTTGTTAGATTTAAAATGCTGTTAATTATCACCAGCATATATGACTCGGAACCCAAGAAGTTATACCGCTGTGACCGCTGCCCATACGCAAATGTGCGCAGAGATTACCTGCTGTCTCACCTGAAGTTTCACATGGTACCCAGTAGCTTGGTGTGTCCCTACTGTGATTACAGGTAACAGTGGCACTGAGGTCTGCCAGTTTGTCAGATTTTAATTATGTTATTGTCAGTATTTGTGTCAAAGTGATTTTTTATTATCAAATGTGTGTTTATTCCACGTGTGGGTTCCAGAGTCTCATTGTAGGGGTTGGGGGGGGGGGGTAGACTCACAGCCTCCTAACAAGTCAGCCAATTAGGGATGTTTCTTTCAAAGTCAGAGTGCATCTGCCTAGGTGGCAAGAAACCAAGTCTGCCTAAAAAAAATATGCCAGATCTGTAAAACGGATATGCAGGTCCTGGAATAAGACTCGAGTCCAAAAGTGGGTGAACAACCAGAACTTTCTGCCTGGAGTTTACAGATGATAAATACGAAGAAGACGAAGTATTTTCATGATCATGTTTGAAACAGTATCTAGATTTTAGTTCATGGCAGAGGGCTTCCGAATTGTTTTTTGATGTTTATCTTGTTTTTGTGCTTTCATGGTGGTGTTTGTTACTGGTAGTTCTACACACTTACACACACAGCACACACACACACACACACAAAACACCTACCTACCTCTAGATGAATGAAATGTGTTTCTGACTGATGGATTTACTAAAGACTCAATAGTGATAAACCACTAGTGGACAGTGTCAGTTTTCTGTTTATGTTAAATACAAGGAAAACAAAAACATGGAGAGGGTTAGATTAATAAACCATCACAGATAACAGTGGGTGTCACATCGGCCAGCTGTCATCATCAAACAAAACATGAAAACAGATAACTGTGGGTGCCCCATCAGCTAGCTGTCATCATCAAACAAAACATGATAACAGATAACTGGGTGCCACATCAGCCAGCTGTCATCAAACAAAACATGATAACAGATAACTGGGTGCCCCATCAGCTAGCTGTCATCATCAAACAAAACATGATAACAGATAACTGGGTGCCCCATCAGCTAGCTGTCATCATCAAACAAAACATGATAACAGATAACAGTGGGTGCCCCATCAGCTAGCTGTCATCATCAAACAAAACATGATAACAGATAACAGTGGGTGCCACATCAGCTAGCTGTCATCATCAAACAAGACATGATAACAGATAACAGTGGGTGCCACATCAGCTAGCTGTCATCATCAAAAACATAACAGATGAGTGAACACTCAGGTAACTGCTTGAAGTCACAGACATGTGTAAACATAGAAAGCTAGTGGAATCAAATACTTACCTTGTGTACTCAGAGACTGATGGCACTAGTGATTTCCCTGAGTGTTGTGTGACTGGTAGTGTGTAACTATTATTGATGTTATATCTGGTTTCCGCTGCTTCAGCGCCCCCAAGCAACCGCTGCTGACCCAGCACATCCGGGTCCACTTCTGTCCTTTGCCGGAGCTCTCCGATTGGCTGCTGGAAAATGGGCAAGTTGAGAGGGAAACCAGCCAGAAGAGTCTCGACCTGGCAGAGGCATTGAAAGTAATCAGCTAATTTCTGTCTTGTTGTCTTTTCTTTCTGTATTTCTGACTACGTCTCTGTCTGTCTCTTTCTGTCTTTCTGTTGCTATGATGTAGAAATGTTTTTTTCTTGTTTGTGAACTGTAGCTGGTGATCTTGTTTGTGAACAGCAGTATGTGATCTTGTTTGTGAACAGAAGTATGTGATCTTGTTTGTGAACAGTAGCTTGTGATCTTGTTTGTTAACAGTAGCTTGGGATCTTGTTTGTGTACAGTAGCTTGTGATCTTGTTTGTGTACAGTAGCTTGTGATCTTGTTTGTTAATTGTAGCTTGTGATCTTGTTTGTGAACAGTAGCTTGTGATCTTGTTTGTTAACAGTAGCTTGGGATCTTGTTTGTGTACAGTAGCTTGTGATCTTGTTTGTGTACAGTAGCTTGGGATCTTGTTTGTGTACAGTAGCTTGTGATCTTGTTTGTGTACAGTAGCTTGTGATCTTGTTTGTTAATTGTAGCTTGTGATCTTGTTTGTTAATTGTAGCTTGTGATCTTGTTTGTTAATTGTAGCTTGTGATCTTGTTTGTTAATTGTAGCTTGTGATCTTGTTTGCTAGTTGTAGCTTGTGATCTTGTTTGTTAGTTGTAGCTTGTGATCTTGTTTGTTTACAGTAGCTTGTGATCTTGTTTGTTAGTTGTAGCTTGTGATCTTGTTTGTGTACAGTAGCTTGTGATCTTGTTTGTTAGTTGTAGCTTGTGATTTGTTTGTGTACAGTAGCTTGTGATCTTGTTTGTGAACAGTAGCTTGTGATCTTGTTTGTTAACAGTAGCTTGGGATCTTGTTTGTGTACAGTAGCTTGGGATCTTGTTTGTGTACAGTAGCTTGGGATCTTGTTTGTGTACAGTAGCTTGTGATCTTGTTTGTGTACAGTAGCTTGTGATCTTGTTTGTTAATTGTAGCTTGTGATCTTGTTTGTTAATTGTAGCTTGTGATCTTGTTTGTTAATTGTAGCTTGTGATCTTGTTTGTTAATTGTAGCTTGTGATCTTGTTTGTTAGTTGTAGCTTGTGATCTTGTTTGTTAGTTGTAGCTTGTGATCTTGTTTGTTTACAGTAGCTTGTGATCTTGTTTGTTAGTTGTAGCTTGTGATCTTGTTTGTGTACAGTAGCTTGTGATCTTGTTTGTTAGTTGTAGCTTGTGATTTGTTTGTGTACAGTAGCTTGTGATCTTGTTTGTGTACAGTAGCTTGTGATCTTTTTTGTTAGTTGTAGCTTGTGATCTTGTTTGTGTACAGTAGCTTGTGATCTTGTTTGTGTACAGTAGCTTGTGATCTTGTATGTTAGTTGTAGCTTGTGATCTTGTATGTTAGTTGTAGCTTGTGATCTTGTTTGTTAGTTGTAGCTTGTGATCTTGTTTGTTAGTTGTAGCTTGTGATCTTGTTTGTGTACAGTAGCTTGTGATCTTGTTTGTTAGTTGTAGCTTGTGATCTTGTTTGTTAGTTGTAGCTTGTGATCTTGTTTGTATACAGTAGCTTGTGATCTTGTTTGTTAGTTGTAGCTTGTGATCTTGTTTGTTAGTTGTAGCTTGTGATCTTGTTTGTATACAGTAGCTTGTGATCTTGTTTGTTAGTTGTAGCTTGTGATCTTGTTTGTTAGTTGTAGCTTGTGATCTTGTTTGTTAGTTGTAGCTTGTGATCTTGTTTGTTAGTTGTAGCTTGTGATCTTGTTTGTATACAGTAGCTTGTGATCTTGTTTGTTAGTTGTAGCTTGTGATCTTGTTTGTTAGTTGTAGCTTGTGATCTTGTTTGTTAGTTGTAGCTTGTGATCTTGTTTGTTAGTTGTAGCTTGTGATCTTGTTTGTATACAGTAGCTTGTGATCTTGTTTGTTAGTTGTAGCTTGTGATCTTGTTTGTTAGTTGTAGCTTGTGATCTTGTTTGTTAGTTGTAGCTTGTGATCTTGTTTGTTAGTTGTAGCTTGTGATCTTGTTTGTATACAGTAGCTTGTGATCTTGTTTGTTAGTTGTAGCTTGTGATCTTGTTTGTTAGTTGTAGCTTGTGATCTTGTTTGTTAGTTGTAGCTTGTGATCTTGTTTGTATACAGTAGCTTGTGATCTTGTTTGTGTACAGTAGCTTGTGATCTTGTTTGTGTACAGTAGCTTGTGATCTTGTTTGTGTACAGTAGCTTGTGATCTTGTTTGTTAGTTGTAGCTTGTGATCTTGTTTGTGTACAGTAGCTTGTGATCTTGTTTGTGTACAGTAGCTTGTGATCTTGTTTGTGTACAGTAGCTTGTGATCTTGTTTGTGTACAGTAGCTTGTGATCTTGTTTGTGTACAGTAGCTTGTGATCTTGTTTGTGTACAGTAGCTTGTGATCTTGTTTGTGTACAGTAGCTTGTGATCTTGTTTGTTAATTGTAGCTTGTGATCTTGTTTGTTAATTGTAGCTTGTGATCTTGTTTGTGAAAGCTGTTGTATCTTGTTGAATGTGTCTAAAATATCTGTATACTGGTGTTGATTAATATCGGTTGCTGCTCGTGCAGGTGGCTCAAGAATACCAGAACAAATCCAAGAAGAAAGACAAGACAAAGGCAGCAATCTGCCACACAGACCGACTGGCTGGCAAGCTGGACGAGAAGCCAGAGGGCAAAGAAAACATTCAGGTAAAACAATTTACATAATGAGTTTTAGCTTGTTGAAGGACATATGTCATATCTCACATACAGGGGACTCAGAACTGAGGTGGCTAGTGCCCTTTCTCACAGTTTCCTTCACTGGTAGATTTGTCACAAGTCTGTGTGGACTCTTTAGTAGGTATATGACTGGGGGAAAGATAGTCACAAGTCTGTGTGGACTCTTTAGTAGGTATATGACTGGGGGAAAGACCCCTCCTTGTGTACGCTCAGCTGTTAGCTGACATCAAGCTACTGCTGCGGCTGTGACATGCCCATGGCAGGTGGAACCTACGCCGGCTCCAATCATCTTCAGCAGGTGTGTTGCTTCTAGTAAAGGTAAAGCACCATAAACAGCTTATAGAAGCAAGACCTGCCACCTGGTGGTGATGGTAGGAACAGCTTATAGAAGCAAGACCTGCCACCTGGTGGTGATGACAGAAACAGTTTGTTGAAGCAAGACCCATAACTTGGTTGCCTGGGGACTTGTGGCAGGTTGAGACTCATATGCTAGATCCACACAACACTAAAGTGCGGTTCCCCCCTTCCCCTCAGGTCAGCTCAGTCACAGATGTTCAGCTACATGTGATGTTTGTGTGTGACTGTTGTATAGTGTAGCCTTTTATTTCACAGCTGTTTTATTGTGTTGCTCCTGAATATCTACATTCTGGTGGAATACAGACATTTGTCATTCAGGCTACAGACATTTGACATCTGGCACTGAAGACATGTGCCAGCCTAGACTGCAGACATTTGATGTTTTGGACTACAGATGCTAAGCACCAAGTTTCACAGTGTTTGATTTCTTTCTTGGCTACTTCAACTAAAAGTATCTGTAATTGAGTCACTTGGGTACTTGTCCATTCTGCATGTAAAACTGATTCCCCCCTCCCCTGTATTTTAACTGCTTTCTGTATTGTATGTGGTGATGATGATGTATGTGTTTAGACAGATATATGAAAACTACAACTTTGTCTCATGCTATATATCACACAGAGTTGTGGAGCTGGCGATGGCCGGTTGATCTACATCTGCCAGTATTGCGACCGTGAGTTTCCAGCCTCGGACAAATTAGTCAAACATGAACTTCAGCATCTTATAGGCAACCATTTTGAAGTGAGTAATCAATAGTATTAGAAATACTTCAGTGATAAACAGATAGGCATTGTTGTGGCATGAAATCTCAGCATTCTCTCGCTGAATAAAATCTCAGCATTCTCTCATTGAACCACATCTTAGATGTTGAACCTTACCTTTCATCCTTGCAGCTTCTCAAAGAATCTCACATGAATCTGCTGATTGTCCCTGATTGAATTTTTTAAAGTTACTATTGGCTCTGTATATAAATATTCACTATTACAATTTTGAAAAGATAATGGCCAGAAGGTTGGCAAGCGAACTTAAAAGCCACCACTTACTGTCTCCCACATTCAAAGGCTACAGACATCAAAGGCTGAATGTTGAATTAAGAATCCACATCACAGCACTCGGAACACTTCCATAAGTGCTTAGTCCCTATCCTCAGTTTCAAACTGACATCAGTGTATCCATTTAGTCATCCCCCTGTGGGATGCAATTTTTCGCTATTTTGAATCACCACACTGGGTCTTGCCAAGGGCGGCAATATAGCCCAACCATAAATATGTCTTGATGACTGAACTCGGTTTCCTGGACCTCTCCACGGGTGATCCTCACCCACATGGTGGCACTTTGTGTCATCAGGTGTTTATCGCTTTACTACTACTACTACTCAATTTCAAATGAAGAGATCCAAATCCGATGATACCAGTAACTGTCTGATTGTATATCCGTCTCATCCTTCCCCTGAGTGTTGAGTGTCGGCCAGAACCCCTTGTAACACCTCGCAGTACTATTCTCCTTAGACTGTAATGATCTATCTATCTGCGCCTCACACTGTTTATTGGCTCCCAAAGGGCATCGAAGGCTACAGAGTGCATAGACCTGGCATCAACCCAGTCTTTGCGTAGAGCATCTTTGAAGGTTTGCAAGCCGGCGATAAAACGTGCAGTTGCCATCAACATGGAAGATGAATACAACAAAGTTACGTTCCAGTAACTGATATGTCACCTGATGGAAATCAGCATTCCTTCCTGTCTTGTTTGATGAATATCTGCTGCATATCAGCCATTAATAGTCAGTTCAGGCCTAATCATTATGTTTAATTCTTCAGTTGTTGCTTCATTGACAAACAAAATATTTTGCTAGTCAACTGTTTTAAACATCTCTCTGTAGTTATTTTGGATTAAACTGTAGTGTTCCAGCTTAGGCCACTTCTATCCAAACTAAGATCTTTGTTTGATTTGTCTGTTGTGAGTTTATTCATAACTTCATGTTATTCCATTTCACTGGTCACTATAAAGGTGGGCACCGGTGTTGCACTGATACACTGATATCTTGTAACACTGTTTTCCCAGACTTATCCCCTGGTGCTCATTCTTTAGGTGAAGTCGTCAGCCTTAGAGCTTTACTGCTTAGAAGGGAACAAAATAATACCTGCGCTAGGGATCGAACCTGAACCACTGTTGTGACAGGCAGCACACCCACAACCGTTCTATACCTTCTGTAGATCTCATCATGTCACTGTATAAGTTGAGGAGATGAGGTAGCAGCTCACACATCCTTATCAAATACTTTATGACAGTAAACCAGCCTGTTCACTGGCTGCAGTGTCTGCCTTCTGTTAGCAGTGAACATTTGTTATTGTGATTTTTTTCTGTATCACGTCACTGATGTGTTGTTATTTCTTCTGTATCACGTAACTAATGTGTTGTGATTTCTTCTCTATCACGTAACTAATGTGTTGTGATTTCTTCTGTATCGTGTAACTGATGTGTTGTGATTTATCTTCCATTATTGCTATTTTGCAGACTGTGTTGTATTTCTATTCTCAGGCTACTGTGCAAATTTTGAGTGATCGGCAACAACAGCAGAAGCAGCAGCAGAATCTGCAAGCAGATCAGCCAGTTGAGAGTCAGTGCCTGGAGAACAACAATTCACAGGAAGATTCTCAAACAGAAGCAACAATGAGCTCTGACAGACAACATCTGTGTGAGAGTGGCATTGTTGCTGCAGCAGACGGTACTGGGGTCAGGGGGGAAGAGAATGGCAAGACAAGTCAGGAGGTCATTGGTGAGAGTGTGCACGATTCAGGCAGCATGGAAACTGGTGTGTCAGACACCAACAACATACAAGAGGACGAGCGAGCACATGAATCTGCAAGTTCTCTGACAGCAGACGTTAGTGCTTCACATGAAGGTGTCGGTGGTTCTGACAAGGAGAAGTCCTTGACCCTAGCAACTTAGTGGTGACCCCAGAAGCCAGCCAGAAGCAGAGCAGTGAGAAGATAGATGGAGTATTAGAAGATAACCTTATCCATAGTGACATCCAACTGTATGCATAGACTGTAGACTATGTGAGTGACATAGCCCCGACAGGTTCTTGTCTGCTGTATGCATAGACTGTAGACTATGTGAGTGACATCCAACTGCATAGACTGTAGACTATGTGAGTGACATCCAACTGTCTGAGTCAGACTATGTCCATCCGACTGTCTGCATAGACTGTAGACTATGTGAGTGACATCCAACTGTCTGCATAGTGACTATGTGAGTGACATCCAACTGTCTGTATAGACTGTAGACTATGTGAGTGACATCCAACTGTCTGCATAGACTAGACTATGTGAGTGACATCCAGCTGTCTGCATAGACTGTAGACTATGTGAGTGACATCCAACTGTATGCATAGACTGTAGACTATGTGAGTGACTGTCTGCATAGACTGTAGACTATGTGAGTGACATCCAACTGTCTGCATAGACTGTAGACTATGTGAGTGACATCCAACTGTCTGCATAGACTGTAGACTATGTGAGTGACATCCAACTGTCTGCATAGACTGTAGACTATGTGAGTGACATCCGACTGTCTGCATAGACTGTAGACTATGTGAGTGACATCCAACTGTATGCATAGACTGTAGACTATGTGAGTGACATCCAACTGTCTGCATAGATAGACTAGAGTGACTGTAGACTAGACTATGTGAGTGACATACTGTCTGCATAGACTGTAGACTATGTGAGTGACATCCAACTGTCTGCATAGACTGTAGACTATGTGAGTGACATCCAACTGTCTGCATAGACTGTAGACTATGTGAGTGACATCCAACTGTCTGCATAGACTGTAGACTATGTGAGTGACATCCAGCTGTCTGCATAGACTGTAGACTATGTGAGTGACATCCAACTGTCTGCATAGACTGTAGACTATGTGAGTGACATCCGACTGTCTGCATAGACTGTAGACTATGTGAGTGACATCCAACTGTCTGCATAGACTGTAGACTATGTGAGTGACATCCAACTGTCTGCATAGACTGTAGACTATGTGAGTGACATCCAACTGTCTGCATAGACTGTAGACTATGTGAGTGACATCCAACTGTCTGCATAGACTGTAGACTATGTGAGTGACATCCAACTGTCTGCATGACTGTAGACTATAGACATCCGACTGTCTGCATAGACTAGACTATGTGAGTGACATCCAACTGTCTGTATAGACTGTAGACTATGTGAGTGACATCCAACTGTCTGCATAGACTGTAGACTATGTGAGTGACATCCAACTGTCTGCATAGACTGTAGACTATGTGAGTGACATCCAACTGTCTGCATAGACTGTAGACTATGTGAGTGACATCCAACTGTCTGCATAGACTGTAGACTATGTGAGTGACATCCAACTGTCTGCATAGACTGTAGACTATGTGAGTGACATCCAACTGTCTGCATAGACTGTAGACTATGTGAGTGACATCCAACTGTCTGCATAGACTGTAGACTATGTGAGTGACATCCAACTGTCTGCATAGACTGTAGACTATGTGAGTGACACTGTCTGCATAGACTAGACTATGTGAGTGACTGTCTGTCTGCATAGACTGTAGACTATGTGAGTGACATCCAACTGTCTGCATAGACTGTAGACTATGTGAGTGACATCCAACTGTCTGCATAGACTGTAGACTATGTGAGTGACATCCAACTGTCTGCATAGACATAGACTGTAGTGACTACTGTGCATAGACTGTGACTATGTGAGTGACATCCAACTGTCTGCATAGACTGTAGACTATGTGAGTGACAGCATGACATAGACTATGTGAGTGACACTGTCTGCATAGACTGTAGACTATGTGAGTGACATCCAACTGTCTGCATAGACTGTAGACTATGTGAGTGACATCCAGCTGTCTGCATAGACTGTAGACTATGTGAGTGACATCCAACTGTCTGCATAGACTGTAGACTATGTGAGTGACATCCAACTGTCTGCATAGACTGTAGACTATGTGAGTGACATCCAACTGTCTGCATAGACTGTAGACTATGTGAGTGACATCCAACTGTCTGCATAGACTGTAGACTATGTGAGTGACATCCAACTGTCTGCATAGACTGTAGACTATGTGAGTGACATCCGACTGTCTGCATAGACTGTAGACTATGTGAGTGACATCCAACTGTCTGCATAGACTGTAGACTATGTGAGTGACATCCAACTGTCTGTCTGACATAGACTGTCTAGACTGTAGACTATGTGAGTGACATCCAACTGTCTGCATAGACTGTAGACTATGTGAGTGACATCCAACTGTCTGCATAGACTGTAGACTATGTGAGTGACATCCAACTGTCTGCATAGACTGTAGACTATGTGAGTGACATCCAACTGTCTGCATAGACTGTAGACTATGTGAGTGACATCCAACTGTCTGCATAGACTGTAGACTATGTGAGTGACATCCAACTGTCTGCATAGACTGTAGACTATGTGAGTGACATCCAACTGTCTGCATAGACTGTAGACTATGTGAGTGACATCCAACTGTCTGCATAGACTGTAGACTATGTGAGTGACATCCAACTGTCTGCATAGACTGTAGACTATGTGAGAGTGACATCCAACTGTCTGCATAGACTGTAGACTATGTGAGTGACATCCAACTGTCTGCATAGACTGTAGACTATGTGAGTGACATCCAACTGTCTGCATAGACTGTAGACTATGTGAGTGACATCCAACTGTCATAGACTGTAGACTATGTGAGTGACATCCACTGTCTGCATAGACTGTCTGCATAGACTATGTGAGTGACATCCAACTGTCTGCATAGACTGTAGACTATGTGAGTGACATCCAACTGTCTGCATAGACTGTAGACTATGTGAGTGACATCCAACTGTCTGCATAGACTGTAGACTATGTGAGTGACATCCAACTGTCTGCATAGACTGTAGACTATGTGAGTGACATCCAACTGTCTGCATAGACTGTAGACTATGTGAGTGACATCCAGCTGTATGCATAGACTGTAGACTATGTGAGTGACATCCAACTGTCTGCATAGACTGTAGACTATGTGAGTGACATCCAACTGTCTGCATAGACTGTAGACTATGTGAGTGACATCCAGACTGTAGACTGACATCCAACTGTCTGCATAGACTGTAGACTATGTGAGTGACATCCAACTGTCTGCATAGACTGTAGACTA